TATTGTTGGTTACAAATAACACTTCTCAACAAGCACAAAGTTTGTAATTAATTCCATCTTATATTAGGGACCGGAGTAGTATGTATTATATAAAAATGTCTTGCACCCGGGGGGAGTATTTACTTTTGTGAAGATCGATGGGATTCATTTGAAATGGTTAAGAATCAAGATCCACACAGGAAAACATGAGTGAAACACAAGGGTAAATAAAGCAGCTGCTTTGTGCCCGACCGCAAAGGGCGAAAGCTCAAAGTACTCCTTCAAGTCACAAATCACAATTCAATTTTGTGATTTTCAAGATCGTCAATCAATTAAATACAAATTAAACAATTTTAGAAATTAAAAGAGGAAAAGCATTTAATAAATAGAACCGCACAAATAGGTTTAAAATTAAAATAGTGTCAATGCATCCTAACATAATTTATCTTAAAATAATATTAATATTTTATGTCTACTAGAATCATATTCTTTTTTGTTAAATAAAATCTATATACCTCTTTTGTATAGAATAGAATTAATTTGTGATAAAATATTTTATAAAAAATATTGTTACTTAAGATATTCACGAGTACATGGAAAGATTTTAAGTCATAAATGAAATTTTTAGTGAAACAAGTAAAATTTTTGAAGGAGGCAATTAAATTTTTATCGAATAAGGGGGCCAATTGAATTTTTCCACAGGGGGAAACTACAAATTCTTAGGGTCAACTTATATAAGTTTCTCTTTGGCCGAAAACAAAAAACTTGTATAATTTTCTCTTAGCCTGAGCCTTAACGTGGATACGTCCCTGTGTCAATGGCAGGCACGTCTATTCGAGTCACTTTCTATGTACACAGTAAAATATATAATAGTTTACATAAATATTTATGTAAGGCATGGATTTTAATGACCTCCAAATCAAATAAAATTTCTAGGCTTCATATCCCTCTGAATGTTGCTAGCTATTCATCGGAATATGTTCAGCGTATTTATAATCGATTATATATAAGGTATTATGTATTAACTGACTTAAAACAGATAACAAATTGTTGAGAACATAAACATATAATTTTTAAGGTTTGTTCGTCACATTGGAAGTGGTAAACAACGTGTTCCACAACATAAATAACAAAATTGAAATTAATTAAAGAGCAAAAGAAAATAATACCTCGCCCTTCCATACAAGCAAAGGTAATATATTCTAATTGTTTCCCAGAGTTTCCTCTGTGCTTTTTTCAGACATATGGGGCATGAATTTGGTAGCAAAGTGGAGGAAGTTAATCATGAAAAAAGAAAAGAAAAATAATACATACATACATACATATAGCTTTAAGTAATATGACAATTTTTTAACGTGCGCGCGTGCGTATATAATATGTATTGTTTTGATTTGATTTTAATTTCTCAATCCAAGTTTTCAAACATTCAAAATTTGTGCAGTCATGTGTATCCTTTCTCTATCACATGTGGATGATTCGTAGCAAACATCCTCTACTATTTGATTACGTTATTTCGAAATGGATAAGTAAATATTATCGTTAAACTGTCTATTTACTTTCAAAATAGTCTCTTAGTTAATTTCTTGTAGTATTTTGAAAATGATTCTTGGGAAACGTTAAAATTAATATTAATTATTGTATTAATAACAATATAATTAATTAATTAAGTCAAAAATTGATTATCAACAAAGTTGTTTGCCTGTAAGTTAAACCGATATAATACTTGTGTGGATTCTAGTAAGTTTGTTTCTATCTGTAGTCTTCGGCGCCCACAAAGAAAATAACATATAAACTGTCTGTAGTAATTCGTGGAACACATGGGAATATATGATATGAGTGTTGCTTTTTGCAGGACAAATAATTGTATCCAATTTTGTAACTTTCAAGATTGCTAAATTGTGAAGGCAAGATGGGAAACATAAGCTGATTAATTTGCGCCATTAAAGATCTGAAAACGTATGAGGTAAAGGACATCATATGATATGAAATAAGATAGAGAATGATATTCATGAGAGTTATGTTTCTTTTTTATCTCTTACTTTGATGAAGTCTTGTTACTTATCTCTCTCCCTAGGAACATGATACATATTCCATAAGTTTTAAATGCAAGATTTTTTTTAGGAAAGTAATATGTTTTTATATATCAGACAGTTTACATAATTTTAAGGATAATTAATACCACGTTTGTTTCAAATATAAGACTTTTGTTTTCAGTCTTAACTTCAAAATAGAAGAAATTTTATAGAATTTAAAGAGTAATTAATACCCTTGTATTTAAAAGGAGAGTATATCAAATTACGTAATCTCAGCTAATTAACAAATACTCAATGATCAACAGTGTTAAATAAAGCCAAAGTTGAAAACGATATTCGAGATCTTACCTAGAATATTTTTTCTTAGTGAATGTGTGTTATAGATAAAAATGTCTTGTATTTGAAATCATAGACCATTACCTTGACTTATGGTTTGATTTATAGCTTCATTAATACATAAAAATTGATATATATATATATATATATCACTTTCCATGCATTTAAAAATGACAATGTTAGAAAATAAGAATCTTAACTATCTATCTATTTTTCTTGGTAGGTATGTAGACCCAATTTATAAGACATACACAAAAATATAAACTTCTAAAATTTTGTTTATTTAATACTTCATTTATAAAAGAATATTAAAGAGAGAAAATATATGAAAAGAGTAATATTAAAAAAATCATCAGTAAAATTTTATTTTTATCAAAGTGCCTTATATTTTAGGATATCAAATCTTTTCCAAAAATGTCTTAAAAATTGAAAAAGAGAGGGAGCAGTATTATATATGTAAAATTGTAGAAAGAAAGGGAGAGAGTATTTACCTTTGTGAAGATAGAATTCGCCTGAGCAGGTTAAGAATCAAGATCCACAGAGCAGTTATAAAAAAAAAAAAACATGCGTGAAACATGGGTAAAAAAAGAGGTTGAATTTTGCCCGGCGACACGCAAAAGCTCAAAGCTCTCACTCGAGTCACAATTCAATTTTGTGATTTTCAAGATTTTCAATTAATTAACTTCAAACACTTTTAGAAATCAAAAGGAGGAAAAGTATTTAATAAGAAAGCTTGTCAATTCAATTTTTTGATTTTCAAGATTGTAAATTAATTAACTACAAACACTTTTAGAAATTAAAAAGAGGAAAATTATTTAATAAAAAACAATTGTTAAAATGTAACTTCACCCAAAAACTTTAAGTTAGATCTAGACCTTAAATTTACTTTTTATATAATATTTTTTTAATTTTTAAAATGATACAATGGTGCTCTTACTATTAATAAAATTTAATTTTAATTATTACTTAGTAAAAAAATTATAGAAAAAACCTCAAAAATAAAAAAAGGGGCCCGAAACTACATACAAGGACCCAAAAACCAAGAACATTTGGCAATATTTTATAATTTCTTAGTTAACTAAAAGTTAAAGTTAATATTTGTTAATGGTGGGAATAATATTACACTATTTTTAAAAGTTATAGAGAAATAATATATTAAAAATAAGTTTAGGATCTTAAACTTCTGACCTTATAATTTAAAGGTAAATTTACCATTTAAGCTTAGAAAGAACCCCACAACAAATCATTAAAATAGTGTGTCAATGGTACTTCCGTCTAGTTGAGTCAAAATATATACTCTCTCTGCTCAAAAAATAAAAAAACATTTTTTTTATGTTGGATGTTAAAAAATACACTTCCTTCATTATTTTTATTATGAAAAAAAGTATCATATATCTCTTTATTTTTTCATAAGAAAAACTATAAAATTAAAAAAACATTTATAATATTTTTCCCAAATTTTTCCTCATAAAGTCAATGTTTTTTTATAGGACAAATTTGTTTAATTAATTTTAGGATAATTTATTCTGAATTTGTTAATCCCAAAAACAATTGTTATACTTAATTAACTTTCTTATCCTGAACAAGTTGGTTTTTTTTTTTTGTTCTCATATTTAAAAATGGAGTAGTATATTAATGTAAGGCATGAATTTACCTCCAAATCAAACAAATTTTCTAGCTAGGCTCCATCCCTTTGAATATGTTCAACGTATTTATAATCAATTATATATAAGTAACTATATGCTGCCCGATGGGTTTGCATTCTTTCCATATCCTTCCTTAATACATCTCTTCATACTCAATATCATTCATCTATTTTAATTATTTATTTGGTTTAATGGTGTAATTATGACATTAAAATAAATATATATATTCATTATTATCATTTATCAATGTTTCTTTACAAAAATAAGATCATAGTGTTTCTATGGTAATTATTAAATGAATAATATATTTATTTTTGATACAATAACCCATTATTCTTGAGCCAATTCAGGCAAGACTACATTGTGGCAAAACTCTTACAAAAGTATTTAATATATATAGTTGCATACTCAGGATTAGAATTCAAAACCACCAGTTAAATTAGCACAACCTTTATTAGTTGAGCTAGGTGTTGAACTCTTTGGTAATGATATATTTTTTTAATATCATAATTAGCAATCTTATGTCATTAAATTAAATAAATAATTAAATGGACAAATGTGATTGAGTATTGAGGAAGGTATTGAGAGAGCATATAGAGAGGATCCAAATCCGTCTAGGGACTTAAAGCTGATGACATGGTTTAGAACAAAAACATGAAATTTTTATTGGGTTGCTTGTCACACCCTATAAAATCATTTTGTGTTTTAAAACTTAAAAAACTCATGATAAATTTAAAAAATATAACCTAAGGGACAAATTAAAATTGACAAAAATTAAATTTGAGAGAACGAATTGATAACGAAACCAATTTGAGATTAAAGAGCAAAACATAATGATACCCTGTCCTTCCATACAAGGAAAGGTCATATTCTAATTGCTTTTCCAGATATATGTGGAATGAGTTTGGTAGCACAGTGGACGAAGTTAAATTAATGTTTTATAAAAGGCTATATATACCCCCACCGTCACTGGCTACCAGCATTGTCCATGCCTGTTGTGGGTAATTCTAGCATTGCTGCAAAATGGAACGTATGGAGTCTTTTGTGGATATTGAATATCTAACGATGGCGCACGATATATACCATTTCACGCTAGAGGGTGAATGGTGTAAAGTTGTGTTGGCGTACAAGGACAAAGAAAATATTCACACCATGCCCATCAACCGCTCCGGCGACACCGCGTTGTTCGTGGCAGCGAACGACAACAAATCATACGCCGTTCAGCAGCTGGTGGGTGAAATTAAGAACAAGCAGCGGAGAGTTTGATGGACGTGCTGAAACAAAAGAATGTTTCAGGGGACACAGCGTTGCATTGTGCAGCATCCATAGGGTCGCTCCAGATGTGTGAGTGTATCACTGAAGCTGATCACCATCGTCATCAAGGACATGTGTTGATTGAAGAACGGAACAATAATGGAGAGACTCCTCTGTTCTTGGCTGCTTTAAATGGACATAGGGATGTTTTCTTTTACCTCCAATCTCGTTGCGCCGACAAGTCTCTTGGGCCATGCAGAAGAGCAAGCGATGGCCAGACAGTCCTTCATTGCACCCTCAGCCGAGACTACTTTGGTACGTAAATTAATTACTTATAGGTTCCTTGACATCTAACCTAGAATTGCCTCCGGTTAGACTAATGAATCGGTGACTCGGTTTTGGATATGAGTCCACTGGGTTGACACACAAAAGTTTCATTTACTTGTGGATTAATGTTTTTAAATTCAAATACTATTCTGAAAAATTGATGCAATAAATTGTAAATTTCTAAATTTGACTCGTAACTATTGCAGGAGGAAGCAGACTTGTTGTAAATTTACAACTAATTAGTGATTTACGCCTTTAATTAATTAATTCTTGCTCACGTACACATATATTCACAGCATTGTCATTTGAAATCATTCACATGTACGATAAGGAAATGGTGGGCTCCGTGGATGAAAAGGGAATTACCCCTCTCCATATCCTAGCCGACAAACCTTCTGCCTTCGAAAGCAGCAGCAATTTTAGATGGTATACCAAGTTGGCATACAAGTGTAAGTATATATATATATATATATATAAACACGGACACACACATATATAATTGACCTATTCTGAAAATACCCTTAATTAAATACTTCAAACACTCTTAATTAACTAAGACCATTATATGTAAGGGTATTTTTGGAAAAACATGTTAATTGCTATCTAAATTTTGTAAGTTGTTTTATCTATTTTGGCTTATAAAAAAGAATGGAGGCAGAATTAGCGCCTATTTGGTTTCTATTTTCAAAAAAAAAAATTTGTTTTAAAAACAAAAAAAATTATTTTAATAAGTTTTTTGAATCTAATTTTTTTTTAAAACTATTCTCATTTTTTTATTTTCAAAACAAAAAATAAAGACAGTTTAAAGCTGTTTTCTTTTTATTTTCTTATTTTGAAAATACCTTACATTTTGTCATTGAAAATTGCAGTTATCTTGACTAGTAATTATCATAAACGACAGCTATTAATCGCTGGTGACCATCACTAAAAGCCTTTTTTTTTAATTTTAAAACTGTTTTTAAATTAACATAATCAAACATGTGTATTCCCTTTTGTTTTGTTTTAAAAAAAATTAAAAATTGTATTGCAAAACATCTTTTTTTCAAAAAAAAAGTACACAAACAAATAAGCCCATATTTTTTTTTTGCAAAAAATATCTAAAAATCAAGATTGTAATTATTTTTTTATTTATTTATTTTCCTTTTTTCCTTGCGGAAGACATATACGTGAAACCGTTGAGGAGCATCAGCCCACTATTCTAACGGTCAAAATTATGTCGAGGAGCCCAGACTGGCAAGTTCATATTAATTAATGAAAACAAAGTATTTTGTTTGTCTTAATTTTGCTTTATATTTATGATCTGAAAGCAAAGTTCATGCATGTTTGTTGTAGCTCTTCCAGAACGTAAAGCGGACGCAGAAAACCCAAGTGATTACATCAATGAATATAGAAGGGTTCCTCCAAATTATTGGACATGTTGTGACATTTTCATCACCTATTTTATTGGGCTTGTCTTGGAAGCATTTGGTACAGTACTCTCTCGCTCTCTACCTAATAACAAGCCAGCCACGCTGGACCCGAGTTCCTTCCTCTAGCACCTCGGATTTGAGTGATTATCTCCTTTGAGCTGTTAAAATTTATATAAATAGTTTTGAATTTATATTCTATCTGAAATTCATAAACGGATAAATTTATTTAAACTGTTGAGATGGATTTCAACAGTTTAAATGAGACAAACATCAAATCCAAATCCCAGCACATCTCCTTTATGCCTCCACTGCATGAATGAAACATCTAGGACTGTCTACATTTAATTTAATTTGGAGGGTCTAGATTTCATATTTTTATTTTTATTTTACATTTATTGAAATAAAAATTTATAAAATTAATAAAAAAATTAATAAATCAGATCATTAGTTTGGAAGTTTAGATTTAACATAAATTGTCCAAATTTAATATTAAAAAATATAAAAATTGTCAAAAATTTTCATATTAAATCCACATTGTTCAGGACATGTATCTGGATAGTCAATTTATTAAAAAATTAATAGATTATCCATATTAAATTTAGATTATCTAGATAAGTGAATAAATTTCTTAAATTGTTATAAATTTTTTATTTTAATAAATAAAAATAAAAACATTAAATATGGTCCGTCCGAATTTTTTTCTCCATGCAGTGGAGGTGCGCAAGAGAGAATGCCTTGGAGGAGCAAAGCTATATATTAATTATTGATGGTGTTTTTTTTTTGTGTAAAATAATTGATGGTGTTTTAATTGTCTGTTATATGAACTTGTGGGTGTTTATATTGAATTAAGGATTATTAAGGATATTAAAGAGTTTGTGGAAGAAGAAACAAAAGCATGTCTGGTGCGCTCAAATACTGGATGAACTTTGGAAGCATAAAAATGAAGCATACGTTGGAGGTGGCCTCAAAGCCTTTTGGATATCCAAACCTAGTTGTACGGCCAATGACGACCGAAAAGGTTTTTCACTTTTCTCTCATCATTCTATATCATGGAGTTATTGATCTTTTCTCTGGTAAAAGGAAAAAAAAAACTAGTAAAAAAAAAGTTATTGATCTTTTCTTATTTTTACCTTTCTTTATATACACACGCATACATATATACATAGTTAGAGATAGAGGAAGCTAAGTGATGTGGAGCAGTGGTGGAGCCACTTACATGTGAGCCCCCCCCCCCACCCCATGGAGAGAATTATATATATGGAGCATGTAAAATTTACACTATTGCACCCCTAGTTTTAGAATTTTGAACCTTTTATACTTGATGAAAATCATTTGATCTTAAATTTTTTTAAAATATATGATATTTTAACTCATATTCCATAAATTCAAGCCAAAAAAATTTAAACTCATTAAACATATCATTAAAAAAATGGATCAATAAAGCTGTTTATTTATAAATAAAATCCAACCACTTGTTAATAAGTCAACCTTTTGATAATAGTTTTCTTTTCTTTCAAGCCTAAGCTCTATATCAACCTTCTTGTTAATAAGTCATCCTTTTGGTAGTAGTTTTCCTTTCTTTCAAGCCTAAGCTCTATATCAACCTTCTTGTTAATAAGTCATCCTTTTGGTAATAGTTTTCTTTCAAACCTAAGCTCTATCTCAACCTTCTTAACACATTTTTGCCTAAGAAAATTCTAAATATATTCTTTGAGATAAAATATACATGATTTTACTTATGTTATTATATTTTTTGCCTAATGTAATTATTTTTAAAATTATTATATTATTTTTTAATTACTAATTTTTAAATTTTGCTATCTTGCACCCCCTAATCTCAAGTCATGGCTCTGCCAATAATATGGGATATTGAGTCCCCCATTGGGCAGAATATATGAGATGCTTAATATGCTATTTAAAGTGAATTTAAATCACCTAACGTTAAGATTATTGAATATATATGTGAATTTTTTTAGAAAAAAGATAAGATTTTATATTTTATAAAAAATTAGAGAAAATGAAACTTTTAATCCTTCAAGTTTGTTTCTGTTTTCAATTTGGTCCCTTATGTTTTCTTAAATTATTATATAAATTTTTTAAGTTTTAAAGACAAATTTACTCTCAAAATAACTTGATGTGTAAAATATATGGATAACTTAGCATGTATATGTAGCTAAATATATGAGAACAAATTAACCCTCAAGGCCTCAAATAAATTCAATATTTGTCAATCTAATCCCTTTACACTATGTTATGTTCTCTTGTTTTTAAAATTTCAGAATATATTTTTTTACCTAAATAATTATACTTCTTTTCATTAATATTCATAGCTGCCATCAATATTATGTTATTAATATTAATAAATTTTAACAATGCAACCTCTTTTTTAAATAATAAAGACCAAATTGATAGCAAAGTAAACTTAATGGACCAAATGGATAAAAATTAAATTTAAAAAACTAAATCGATAACTAAAACAAACTTGAGGGAGTAATAGTTACATTATCCAAAAATAATAAAATAAAGAAAAATACTAAAAAAGAAAAATTATGAATGTACATTATGTTACTCACATTCACATCAACTGTATGCTATACACATGTATATGTGTATAAACACAACTGCATTGGTGTTGCAGGTGACGTTTTGTGCATGGGACTCTCATGTATTTAGAAGTCAAATGTTAATTATATATAACCCATTTGGAAGTGAGATGGATGAAATTATGTGGAAGTTTTTTCTTTCTAATAAAACTGAAATCCTTTTATCTCTTGTTTATTCATGAAGAGGAGGATAAAAGTGAACAGGGGAAAGATGAGTCAGCATTGTTTATTGCAGCGAAAAATGGGGTGTTGGAAATATTGAAGAAAATTCTGAAAGACAAACCAGGGTCGATCCACGAAACTAACTCGCTAGACCAAAATGTATTGCATGTGGCTGTTGAGAACAGGCAACCTCACGTATTTAAGCTTCTGACGAAGCACCTCCGGGAGAAGATGTTGTGGGAAAACTTCGCCGGACGTGTCGACAAAAACGGCAACACCGTCCTCCACTCGGCGGCACAATTCTCCAGTTGCAAGCCCTGGCACATTGCTGGTTCTGCCTTGCAAATGCAATGGCAAGTTAAATGGTTTCTGGTATCATTTCTACTATTCTTCCTCCTCCTCAATCATTTCATCGATCTCATGCATGCGTTTGTTGATGGAAGTTTTGTTTTTCTATTTCTAGTTTATGAAGGAGAACACGCCTCACCATTTGCGGTTTCTCCAAAACCATAGCAACGAGACACCGCAGGACATTTTCGTAAGTGCTCACAAGGATCTTGTGAAAGAAGGCACCGACTGGCTCAAGAGCACGTCGGAGTCGTGCTCCGTCGTGGCTGTGCTTATTGCAGGTGTGGCTTTTGCGACGGCCACCGCTATCCCCGGCGGTACTCAGGAGGAGACCGGAAAACCTAACCTGCAACACCACCCGGCGTTCAACTTGTTTGCATTCACTTCCCTCTTGGCTCTCTGCTGCTCCATCACCTCTCTCATCATGTTCCTCTCCATCCTCACTTCCCGCCAGCAGCCTCGAGATTTCCGCAGAGATTTGCCTCTCAAACTTCTTTTGGGGTTGAGTTGCCTCTTCATGTCCATCGCTTTAGTCTTGGTTTCTTTCTCTGCTGCGTTCTTCTTTTTGCCCAAGGACAACCTCCAGCAGGTTGTTTTCCCGCTCTATGCTGTCACTATCTTGCCTGTTACTTTCTTTGGCGTCGCTCAAGTGCCCCTCTACATCGATCTCGTCAGAGCAATTTTCTTAAAGGATCCCCAGTCCTGTAATAGGGAATCTGAAAAGCTTATTCTCTTAGACTCTTACCATTGAGGTTTGTAATTTGCCATTCTCTAATATTTTTTATTATGCTCCATCGTCTTAATTTTTGTTTGTATTATAAAATAAGAGATATTTTTATATCTTGAAATTTCTGAATGATAGGGTTTATATCTTTTTAATTATTTTTCAGAAATAAAAAGTGTGTGATTTTAATATTTTAAAAAAATTATAAAACAAAACACAAAACTCTGTCATTTTGGGATTTTAAAATATCAAAATATCTCTTATTAATTTTATGTAGTAGCCAAAAAATAATAAAAAAGAAAAATGAATTTGGGAAGGTGAAACATTACAAAAAAACTATTAGAAAAAAGGCATATTAAAAACTCCTTACTAATGTTTTATTATCAACTGCGCTCGACCTACTATTCAAGTCATTAATTTGAAATTATGATGATTTCGTTGCTGTACTATTTTATTCCCCCCCCCCCCCCCTCCATATTTGCATGGTTTCAAATTTTACTAGGTGAAAATTTCTCATCATGATGTAATCAATAACTGGAAGCCCTGCTTTGGGAGGGTCCCACTCCCACCTTTGATATTCCAAATAGCGACCTTCATAGAATATGGAAATCTCATATGTCCACATCATTTTTCATGGACATGATTGGTCTGGTCTTTGAACCATTATTATTCATGTTGGAATTAAACCTTGACCAGGAATTTTAAGGATTGACATTGAATTGTGATGGCAAGGTGCTCATCAAGTAAAGAGAAAAATAAAAATAAAATAAAAGATAAGTTTTGGTCGTCAATTTATTTATGCATAACTTGAGTCGAAGGCCTTATAACTTGAGTCAAGGTGCACAAGTAAAGATTAAAAAAATAGATAAAACACAATTGGTCCTTATATAATTTTATTATGTTTTGTTATTAATTTTTATATTTTTTTCAATATTCAAAGTCCCTTTAATTTTAAATATTACTATTAGAAAGATGATGTGGCACCTATCATATTAAATTTGGCATTCCAAATTTCCAAGAACAATCATCAAAATTTCCTAAAATCGTTAAAGAACCTAAAGACATTTTTTTTTTTTATATCTAAAAGCATAGGTGAATTGAGTTAAAGGCAAATTTAAATTCGAGCAACAAGAATTTTGAGTAAGCTTAAATTTCACTGCAATGATAATTGAAAGTCTTCGTCGAAAGTCATTATTAAAGCCTATTATTATTGTTATTATTATTTTGTGGTGATAATTACCTAATATTCTTGGCATGGTTTCTACAATTGCATCCATAAAAAGAGCAGAAAGCTTGAAAGAACATCAAGAGCAAGATCGATACAACAACTATAAATGTCAGAAACTGCCATGAACCAAACACATAAAGCTTCATAAGTCTCCAAGTTTTAACCCTCATCCTGCCATTGTAGTACTTGTTCACATCTTCAATGACCTTATCCAAGAATGGTACTTTTGTCAATTTAATGGACATGCTCATCCCATTCCACAGGTTAGCCACTTGTTCATCATTGTTCAAACGGTTTAAAACAATCCCTTTTTCTCTCAAAATCTTTGCATCTTCCTCAGAATCTATAATCCCATTCATCAATTCTGTGTATCTTGTGAAAACAAGTGGCCCACCACTGCATGTTATTGATGCTTCATAAGCAACCAAGTTTCTAAGCAACACTCGACTATTGATGTCTATGGCTATTGTGGGAAGGTGAAGTGTGGCTGCTGCTTCATCAAATCGGATACTGTGAATTGCTCCATTATTAGTGGATGAGAAACAGATTCCAGAGTTTGAGAGTTCTGTAACACAGGGGATAGCAATTTCCTCCATCAAGGGTGGCTTCTTGAGATCAACAATTTCTGTTTTTGATTGCTCGTTCTCTTGTGAGAAAAACAAGTATTCCAAAGGGTGTTTTATAATCCCAACCACCGGAAGGTTACAAATGATTGTCAAAGGCATACAAATGATGATCTTCATTGGCTTGTATAACAGTACCTGAAAAAATAACTCTGTATAATAGTACTTTGAATTATAAGTCTCAAGTCATTGATCATACATGTTTGTTATACAAAATGATATTAAATTCATATTCATAGTTCCCATATAAAGAGCATCTTAGAAAGGGAAAGAACACAGCTAGGTCACCTAACAGTACCAAGAGGACACTTAGTATGACACTATATCTTAACTTAAAACATTAAGATATTGAGTTTATGAATCTTTTCTATTTATATATCTCTTCTTTAATCCAACTCTATCCATTGTGAGACTTTTCACATATTAAACTAACTCAACTCTCACTAAACATCCCAATACATAAATAATTCAAGTGCAAGCAAATCTTAAACAAGAGATGGTACATTTTTACAGGAGCCAGAATGATATCATCATTAGAAAATCTGATGCTAAATTCAAAAGGAAAAAAGAAAATCTGATGTAACATAATAAGTTGACACACCTATATGGATCTAACATGAAAAAGAAGTTGAACAATACCTTCTGAATGAAACTTACTGATGATTTGGTCAATCTTGATGCCATCATCCAAATCTCACTTAAGGCTTGCTTAACATATCTCACAAATGATTTTTCATTGCCTTCCATGTCTCTGTTATGGTCTTCAAAGTCAATCATATTTGGTTGTTCTTCCAATTTGGGCACAATCATGTTATACAAGAAATCCAGCAAATGCACACATTGTGAGACTTGGAACTCTGAATAATAATTTTCTTTAGTCATCGTCTCAAAAGGTGAAATTTCTTTAAACAACCCTATCAACAAAGCAAGAAGCATATCATCTGCTGATGATTCTTTTGTTGATGATGATGACAATTTGAAATCTAAAACTTTTCTCAAAACAAATAATGGGATCTGATTTTCAAGCATTAGTACGTCTCTTAGAGTTTGATCATTTTGACCTAATTTCCTCCCACCACCATAATCGATCACTCTTCCTTCTTGAAGAAAATCAAGCAAGAAGGAGGCATCAATAATCATCACCCACATTAGGGTTTCGCTATTGAAATTCAAGTGCTTGTGGTAGCATGCTCTAATCCTGTATTCATATTTTCTCAATTGGTCAACAAGATGTTCGAAATTGAGGCTAATTTGAAGCTTTTTTTGAAGTCTTTTTGTAGCAGCAAGCTTGACCCTCTCCATATCCATGAGTTCTGGACGCCAGCAATGGTAAGGACCAATTGCAATCTGTTAGGTATGCCCAAAGCAGTTAGTTTAGTTGATAGAAATTTATGCTACTTCTTCAATTTAATTGCTTATCATCTAGTATTATATCAGAAAAGGGTTATTAATTAAAATTAAAAATTGAACTTTAAACGGTTTAAATTAAAATTGCTTCCCAGAATCAATTAATTTTAGAACTGATACAAAATTTAAAAAGATTCAAATGGTGGGGTTATTAATTGTTTGGTTCATACATTTTTTTTCATATTAATTTTTAGTTATTAGTAAAAAAAATGGCATCATTTTTTCACAAAAAAAAAGTTCATACAAAATGGCACCATTTTTGAATTATTTTTTCTCATAAAATTCCAATGCTGTATGATATCCATATTATTATGATATCCATATTATTCTTGTACATAATTATTAATAATTATAAATTTGATTAATGAGTGTTATGATAATTTATCATCAATTTCCTATTTTATTCTTAATTTTTGATTAAGCAATAGCTTGAATAAATTGAAATATTAAATTATGCAATTTAATAATAGTGGTTTTGTTATTCCCCATTGTTATTTTGATATATAAAATTTAAAACTTATTAAATTAATTTTGATCATCAGTTTGACCAAAATCGAATAAATGAACCTTGAATCGTTTTTTTTTTTAATTTTATCAGAATAAACCTTGAATCAATTCCTAGACTGATTTAAATGGCCATTCAATTTTAAAAATATGGTAATAATCCTCTTTGATTCCTCCTAAAAGCAATATAGATGTGGCTAGGGAATAATATTTGTAAAATTTAATGTCCCTGACCATAAATTTAGTTAAATTCATGGCAACGTAACAAGCAAAAAAAAAAAAACTATTTAGAAAATTACTTAAGGAACCAAATACATAGTGAGGCATTTTCGAAAGCTTAACATTAAAAGTTAAAAATTTTCTAAGAATAGAAATGTTTATTACTCACTAAAAGATCTATGAGAAAAATATATAAAACCTGTCTAGGGATATAAGAATCTGGATCACTAGTCATAAGGGGCTTAGGAACATTGAAGATAGACACAAGGAATTCGCCATTATTATCTTCCTCTTCAAGCTCTTCTTCCAGCGTTTGACGAATGTGAATCACCCATCTAAGCTCATCAATGTCGGATTTGTTGAAGTCATTTGAGATGGTTCGTCGAACAAAGACATGAATGAATAATAATTCAAGTGTCTTGCAATGGCTTCTCTTGTTTGTCTCGATAGGGATATTTAGTGAAGAAGGTTAGTTAAGAGGATGAAGCTTAATTTTATTATCACGGAAACGTAGTGATTTGGAAACTCCCAATGAATTAATCAGAATATGAGTTTATTTGAAAATTAATGCCCATTAATTATGGGTTTCTTTCTAATATTTACGTTAGCCAACAACTTAAGTTTCAGTTCACCTCCATTTAATTGAGAAATTCTTGCATGAACCGGTGTACCACTCATTTATGTTCTATCTAATAAAAACACATCATATCAAATAATTGTAAATATAACTTAATTATGTCATTGATGATGACAGATAGAGGGGGGAAAAAAAGAAACATCCTATTCTAAAAATAAAATCAACATGACACAATTTTATTTGACTGAAATAAAGACACAGCATAAATGACATCATGGGTCCATGCAAATATTTTATTTCACACATTTTAACTGTAATGTTTCATGTAATTTGTTCCCCACTGAACAGGAATGTGAGGGAAAAGGGCATGCATTAGATGTAAGAGTGAGAATCCTTATCACTCATGCTAATATAAGTTGATTATAGATGAAAGAAAGCACTTTATGGATTAGTGTAAATTTCTTTAAATTAAACTCAACAGATAATCGATCATAGAATGCAAAAATTAGGACACAAAAGAACTTTTTTTTTAGAAAATTTTTTTGGATTGTTTCTTGCAAAGAGATGGATTATGTAGAATTGTTTTAAAAAGAAAAATTGTTAACGAATTGTAGAACGATTTATAAATTGTTAGAAATAATATTCATTCAGCATTTGCAACTCCAAAAGACGATAAGTTCATAATTTCATCATTGCAATAGCAAGTTCCATCTTTCACTTGTGATTTAGGACTAAACGATTCATTCATCAGACAAGACAACCCCAAATTTACATGACAACATCTTCCCTTCATTTGGAAGGATGGGAAGAAAAATTAAAAAGAAAACAGAAAAGAAAACTCCTAAAAGTAATAAAAAAATTTACTATTTTTAGAAATTTCTCTTCAAAGTTTTCTTTACTCTTTATTTTCTTCCCACTTTTCCTTAAATAAGAGCCAAGCCTTCAAGTCTATTGAAAAAATTCCCCACTATAAATAATGCATCAAGGGGTTTATACGATTATGGTTTTTCAACCTCGTCCACTTATTCAGTAAATATTCTCTTCAAAGCAATAGACATCAAGTGAGCAGAGAAAATCTAAATTTGAATTGAACGTGCTGACCATTTCGACAGAATCTAGTTCAGTAATATATATATATATATATATCCTTAACACCCAAACTTTCAGATATAAAATGACGTCAAAATTGGAATGAAGGGGCCATTACAAGACAATACAAAATATATACACAGAGGATTAGATTTATATCTCCAATAGGGTTGTGGTTTGAAAAATGAAGTGAGCAAGATTTTTCACATGACACTGCATCAATGAAGAATAATACCGTCAAATTTGATGCACCATTTCCAATCAGATCCAAGCATCCCCAGAAAGGAACCAAGCATATGCTAATGTCATGCCGTCTATTGAACACGTTTACCCAATATATATATATATATATATATGGCTCCCTGCTATCTCTTCGGAGAATGCTTTCTTTTTTGGCTACCAAGAGGAAGCTTGCTCCCTTCATCAACAGAGGTGAACTCACCAGTTACCCTGCCAAAAAAAAAAAAAGATCAGTAAGCACCAGTGATGGTTACTTCCAACAATCTGACGGAGACTTGATAGTACTTGGAGTAATATGTGATACTTAATAAGTTATTTAAGTGAGTTGGTTCTTTCACCTCAACAACTAATTTCTGAAGTAGGATTCCACATCCCGCTCATGCACCCATTAATTGGTATCAGAACTAGGTTATTAAATCTTCCAAAGAAGGCTACCCATGGAAAGTTTAACTAACAAGAGGCTAAATAAGTGTCATGGAGTATAGCCGCCCAACATCAGCTTTCCGTAGAGGGCCAATTGATGGAGACTTGATAGTATGGGATACCAAATCACACATTAAATAGTATAGGATGCTTAATGGGATATTTAAATGGGTTGGTTCTTCCATCTCAATAGCTAACTTTTAGAATAGGGTTCCCCATCCAATTCAGGTACCCATCACAAATCTATCTAGAGGAATGGAATTTCTTTTTGCCTTGATAGAAACAGGATATTGAACCTGTGTTTTTAGATCAGAATCTGTTTTTAGAACATTTGTACTCCATTCATTTTTTCCCCTCATCTTGCCAAGGTCATAGGGATTTGAATTGCAGACATGTTACAATCAATCCTCTATATGTGTCAAACCTGTCTGAATAATGCATATGAAACCAATCCTACATTCTTGTTCAAGGACAGAAAATTCAATGGCAGCTTGAGCTTCTAACAATCAAAATTCAAACTAAGCGCTCTCAAAAGACATAATAATGTACTCCTTGCTGGCATAAGCCTTAACTGATTAAATTTGACTTAATCATGAGAATTTATGGAAGCACAATAAACAGAGATGTAGGAGTCCAAATACCTATTATACAACAAAGTGGCATCACCTATTGTCCCTGCAACCTTATTCCGTACCTTACGAACACAAACCTAAAGCAAAGCATATAACAGATATATATATATATATATTTAGTATAAATAAATAATCACTCAATGCACCCACAGTCATACAGCAAATACACACCTGTACTTGATCCATAGGCCCAGCTTCAGGATCTCGATTTCGATGAATAACAATTCCATTGTCGCACTTGTTTATAAAGTGTGCACTTCCACTTATATCATAGAGATTAGGAGGTCCCCCAACCCAATTTTGTAACTGGTATTTTTATTATGCAACTGTTAGGCCATTAGATATATCAGGAAAAGGAAAGAGGGAATGGCCGAGATTACAGCCTTCTGTTACCAACCTGTCTAGGATGTGCAACAAACCAAACATGGCATCCGTGATGCTGGGCAAACCGTTTGATTTTGGTAAGCATCTGACTAACATATTCAGTTTCAGTCCTGAAACAAATAAGTAAACATCGAACAAAGTATAGGATGCAAAGAAGAAAAATGATCGACTCTGCGTGTGCTGGGGGAGACAATAGAAGGTCCGTTTGGTTGCTAGAAATAATGGAATGAAATGGACTAAAAAAAAAAACAAAAATGAACAAAATCACTTTCCCTCTCATGGTAAACAAGATAAAAAACCAATACCACACCTTGCACAATCTCATAAATCACAACTCCCAACTTAGTGAACTATATTACCCATTTACCCTTTCCCATCATAAACATAGTTGACCTATCTTCCATCCATATTTTGACCATTTTATTTATACCTTTAATTTTTCATTTCATTCCATTCCCGTTTTTTCTAACAACCAAACAAGACTTAAGTATATATCAAACAACTAAACACAATAAGGTTCTTTATATTGGCATCATTACTTTAATTTGCTACCACAGAAGTAACTAGTTCATGATGAGGTCAACTATGAACATAAAAAAAAAATAATAATAATAAAAAATCCAAATTAAGAACAAAATCTCGGAGAAACTTACATGCTTGAAGGGCGCTGATGGTCAAGCTCATTATAAGGATCGATTACAAGTCCACGAACCCCATGCCTTAGCACAGCTATTTTTGCAAGGTCAAGGACCCAAGTTATACTTGGAAGGGCATCATCTTCACACCTAGCATGACCAATAAGGAACCCCAGAATCAAAACCAACGAGTGAAATAAATAATCTAAAAGTGCCCAAACAACTTTTGAACTAATATGCTAATTAATCACTGCCAAGAACCTGCAACAGCCATCAAGAAAAAAAAGTCATTGTTTCTCAACAAATTCAAGGATAGAGCCCAAGACTAGAAGGCTCCTGATATAAGCACTGACAATTCACTTTTATGCTAACATTCTAGAGGCCCTGAAAGCTACAAGAGATTAAGTAATTTATAGAATTCACGGTCAAGACTACAATTTCAGCAACAGTATTATTAGTACATAAGATAAGGGAAAGATGGGGGAAAAAATACAAGCAGAGGAGATTCAGCTTCAACAACCAAAGACCAGCCAGATCAATCAGTTAAAATGGGTGGATCCCTGATTCTGATTTCCGCTTAGTTTTAACAAGGTTCTATCTTTCCCTAGTTTCAAATATAAATAAATTATATTATAACCCATAACTTCCCTCAGTGCCTCAAGAAATAATGATTGTCTTGTTATCCATGCTTGAGTAAACAACAGTCGCTCAATTAGCCAGATATCAAATTACGAAATAAGTTGAGAGAGAGAGCTTTTTCCTTTGGTTCTTTCTTTTAGTTTGTTTGTCTTTTTTTTTTTAGGGGGGGGGGGGGGCGGGGTGGTTGGGAGGGGTGGGATGCAACCAGGCCATCCACAGGCTTACCTTATGAGTTGAAAAGTATCACTTAACCAGCTCTTCCCCTGTTCTAACTCCTCCACACTCATACGTTCAACAGAGTCGCCATAACTATCATCAGACAAAGACCAGAAGATAGGTGATTATAAACATTAACATAAGAATAATATTAAGTATTGCTGCTGATGCAAGAGGATTAACAGATAATATTCACTAATTTGATCACCTAAGTATTAGCAAATAAATTTTGCAAAGATATGAATCTAAATTTAATCTTTGGCATCCTTGTCAATCAAATTCTGAATACAAAATTGACTAAAATAGACATATATTGTTGGAGCCCAAAATATTCAGATGATCCGTAGGGAAAAGAATTTTATGCATTTCAAGAACAGACTACAGAGATTGTAAAGAAAGCTCAATAGCAAAGTTATTGGCTTGGGTATTAGGCATTTAGGAAAATCTTAAAGTTAAGAAAAGTATTACCCTTGCATCGATGGAAATAGTTAAGTTCAGGGGGTCAGTACAATGGACATCATAAGTAAGTAATTCAAAAATATATTTCGAACATTTCATTCCTCATTTTTTTTCCAAGTACACCCACAAAATCGAATTGGCTACATGAATTGTATGGCATTATTGTACTCTATCAACAGCCACGCCTTTGGGCATATTATTAACCAAAAGATCTTGTTTTCTTTAGTCTTTCTCTACCCCTCTTCACGTGACTTAAAACTATCTATTCTACTCTTTTCACTAGCGCCTCCAACATCTTTTTTTTTTTTCTTTTTACACATGTCGAAACCATCTCAAACAATTTTTTACCATCTCTTCAATAGATCTCACGCCCACTTTTTCTCATATAAGTTCATTATGGATCTTATCTATTTTTGCATACCCACACATCCATTTTAACATCCTCATCTTTGCTACTCCAACATTATGCACTTGTCCCTTTAAAGCCTAATATTCACTACCATATAACTATTTTATCACACTAGTAAAAAATTCTTCTTAGAAGTATACATCATTTTCACGAAACTATTTGTGAATGCAGCCTTGCTTGACCACAATTATTAGGTATGAGCTAGATCAATTTTGAATGACGCATGGGCACAGAAGTACACAGCTTTATCATAATTTACATCCCTATAATTGTATGAATATTGTTTCATATTGATTTTTAATATTTGCACGTTGTATTTTGATGCTTGAATTTTGCATTTTAAGTGTCATGCATTCAAGACATGGGAAAACTATAGGGAGCTGTATGATGCTAGGTGCCAAGCTGTGAAGCCTATGTGATGAAATTAACGCATAAGATGCAGATTAAAGATTTGTGTAAGCTGTTTGAGATTGTTGGAAATTATTTTGATTTTAATTCGTTTATTCTGATTGCTTTGTTTAAGGATAATTTCTTTTCTTCGGTCATTTTTAACAATCTTCCTAAATGTTTGAGATTAGATTATATATTCTATTTTAATAAGACCTGAGCTATCCTATTTTGATTAGGATAAAGTTACAATGTTTAGACTTGGATTTGCATAGAACCAACTGCACCGCTTGAGCTGTCTAACCGTCTAACTTAGAAACCATGATGAACTAGATTTGCCTATACGCTCAGGAAAGAGTAGAGGTGGTGCACTAAACATTGCATGTGAGTACATCTCAAATGACAAGTCTCTTAGTTATTGAGTTTCAAAGCTAATATTTCAAGTGAGCAGATTCCAACTAATATTAATGAACTGCAAACTGCAAACAGAGTAAGTAAAGCCATTAAAGATGAGATGAATGCTGCTGACAGAAACTAAACTAGAAGCTTATTGACTTGCCAAAAGGGAACAAAGTTCTTGTGTACAAGTGGATATTTACTATCAAATATAACTAATGAAAGCATCCCTCATCATAAGCAGTGCTGGTGGCTCAAGTCCACATATCACATGAACAATATAAACCCAACCTTGATAAAGATAACCCAAGATATGAGCAAAAGCACAAATAATAATGCACAAAGCTCACCGCACATCAAAGAAAGGTTTCTTCAAGTGCTTTTCTAAAAGTTTCCGTGCATGCTCCCTGACCTGTAGATCAGTCAATTAAACATTTGAACAATGTCAGAACATGCCACAGAAAATGTGAGAGGGAATGGCTAGCAAAGTGTAGTTAAAGTCAGATTACAGATTAATAATAGATGCTGACAACATTACTCAAGAATATTAAAGACAATGGATTTCAGTTGTGCAAATATCTTTCACTCTAAGAGGTACTGAAGTGTTTTTTTTTTTTTTTTTTTTTTGGGGGGGGGGGAAGGCATAACGATTTAGAAAAGTATTTTTAAGTTAAAGAAAGAGTAACTACTCATGCAGCCACGTTTAATGGTAGAAATGTCTGAGTGGTCATGATATTTATATGGATGAAGGTTTAGGAACCAATTTTGATATGTACAACATTTTCAAGTCTCACAATGATATATTTTGTTTGGTTGATTTAGTTTCCCCCAAACTTTAAGTCTCCCTCTTTTGTCAACACAGTATTTGCACCTGGATATCATTCACCTCGAATCAGACCCTGGGCTAACTACTTCCAGGTATGTTGTTAAAGGCGAAAGGCACACTTAAGGCACAAGGCCTATAAAATGCCTTAGGTGGAAGGCGCTAGAAAGGCGTGTGCTTGAATGAAGGAAGGCGCTACCATGAGCTGTAGCTTCTAGGTGTTGCTGCTTTGGTCTGAACTTCTAAGGCGTCATAATAAGTTCTCTTTTATAACTTAAAAAGTATAAGTTAGGGTTAAACTTCCCTAAAAATTTTCTCAAGGGTCACAATAATTTCCCTATCAAGTTTAAAATTTCAATCAAAGATTATTTCTTGTAATAAATTTAAATCTTTTCCATTATGTAATTGTCCTCCCTTAATTTAAATTTAAATTTTCCCTATTTTCTAATTTATATCATATAACTCTCCATATTTTATATCATATTTTAATGGGTTATTTATTAAAAAAGAGCAAACCCATCATCTTCTTCAATACGCTACCCAATAGCAATTGATTAAAGTAGTCAGTGTCATGCTCATCTGCTCTACTTCCAAACCCAATCAACATCGTCCTCGTCCTCGTCTTCTCTTCTTCAATACCCAGTTCCATTCGATCATTGTCTTCTCTCTTCAATACCTAGTCCCAGTCAGTCGTCTTTGTCTCTTCTTCAATGCCTAGTAGTCGACTGTCATCTACTTGTCTTCTATTCTCTTGTTCTTCAACTCGCTTCAACCAGGCACTCTTGAGGCCACAAGGTGATTTCAAGCGAGCGCTTGACTAAACCCATCACCTCTCTTCATGTGAGAGGTGGTGACCCTATTTAGTGCCTCGCCTTTGCACCTTAGGCGCTAAGGCGCTCGCCTTTAACAACACTACTTCTGGCAAAGAAAAAAATCGAACAAGTTTATCTGGCTTAACAGAATTCAGGTGGTTGAGTGGCTGGCTTGTTTGTTAGTACCAGGATGCCATTTGTTGTGTTTTCCATATTTTGGTGAAGATGTGAGTTATTTTTCTTATCATAGTTAAGTTTAGTTTACACAACCTATAAAAAATTGTGGGTGGCTGAATAGCGTTTGCCTAATGTTATTTATTTTATTAAGTGATATTTTGATTTATATCTAGAAAACTGGCATGCACAATAGAGATAAACTTTTAACAAATTATGTGGAAGCAAATGATTGCAAGTTTGGCATCCCAATTGAGTAGACCATATGCACTTCTAGTCACCACAGAAATTACTTATCCCTACCACGTACAGGAAAAAAAATGAGAGAGGAGTTGAATCCCCACATTCCTATCTTTAACTTAGAAAAATGAGAGAAATTGCTTATCCCTATGTTATGGACCTTAGTTAATAGAGTAAGAGGACCTTATTCAGTCAACAGATTAACAAAAAATATCACACAGCACAATTAAAGACCAAGGCTAAAAAAGACATAAAGAATACACGTATTTCTTACCTGAGTGAAAATTATTATAATAATAAAGTTGAGGCAATTAGTGTGACTGCTACATTTATATAATAATAATGCGAATGCTACTTGTGTGTGTCTGTATGATTATCAATTGCACTTCAGCATACTGCAATGCAATAAAAGTGTACTAACTGGTCCAAAGACTCTTAAGATAGCTCATTCATGTCAAAATTCATTGACTACATTTAATAAAAGGGTTTCACTTCCTATCTCTCACATTCCATAATGATGTGACTGAAATGCACAAGGCAGTAGCGAGATTATCACATTCTTATCACTCAAAAAATATAAAACAATGATTTACATATGAGAATTTCCTTCATCAATTGTCTCAGATTACTTTACAATATCGTCTGTGATAGGGATCCTCTCAATTTCTCCAGAATCAAACATGCCAATTTTTAGAGAAAGCACAAAGTTTTCAGGGCCTGCTTGAAGCTGTGTCTAACTATTTTTGAAATTGATACTATTAATTTCAATGAGATATTAAGAGGAATCCCTTCTTGATGTATAGCAAGGACCTAGAAAGCGTAAACATTTTTTCCTTCTTGACAGAAGTTTCTGTATAAAATTCTTATTGTTCTTACAAGAAGATTAAATTTGGAAGAATCAACACTTGCACATGCCTGATGACACAACTAAATCAGAATCAGAAGTATTCATATATGCTTTAAAGTTTAAAATTGTGTCTCATACTAGTGTCTGAGATGTGTCGGATGCCAACACAACTTCATGAAAATGTTTGTGCTTCAAAGCATTATTGTTGAAAGTCAAGCATGAACTAGCTCACCCTGTTTTCCATAGAGCAAAGTGCAAATTTCCAACCAGCAATCCGATTGACATTACATAGAAGAGCATCAATCCACTCACTCTTCCCTGAATTGGGAACCCCGGTTACTATAGTTAACTCCCCTGGCACGACCTGATAGAAGTAATACAGAATACAACAAAACGGAATCATCCATCACCACTCAATAGAAAGTGTTTTATCATTATTTATCTACTGTTAAGTGATAACCATTATCATTATTAAACAGTATTTTAAAACTAGACCAAATAAATAAGAATAAAACATGGATGCCTAATGTGCTTCATACAATTTAAGATCTGGAATCATTAACACGATTTTAGCAATCAAGATTGTGTGGAGTCTTCATAGTATTGTCAAAGATGCATCTTATAACTGCCCAATAAATTATACACTATGCAACTCCATGCCTAATGAAATCATAAACTACTTGTTTCTTTTATTACACCAGATTGCAAGAAACAAGAAACGTGCAGGCTGTGCAAAAAATTAAGGAAATGTCAAAGGCATAAAAGCAATGTCAAATGCTAATGCAAAATATAGGGAAGCAACAGGTTTAGTCATGAAAATTTAGTTATGAGGAATACAAACATTTGTGCACTGTTTCTGTCCATAGTATGAATTCTTCAGACGTGAGAAATGGTTAGAAACTCATGAGTGTCCACTGTTATTTATATTTAGACTTACGCTTCTTTTGCTTAACATATAATAAATTTCGTTTAAATTATGCTTTGTACCTGGAAACCTAAATGCACATTTTTTTCCAATAACCTGAATGTAAATTTAGAACAATTTAGCTCTGTTATCCAATACATCGGGAGTCCCAAGAATCACTTCATTCACAATATAGACAACCTAGAGTTAATACAAGATCAATATTATTTGTGGTGTATTTTGTTCAATAAATAGTTAGCAAGTCAAATTTATAAAACATAAAATTACAGCCATCACACTTAACAATATAGAAATGCAATAAATTGCCATTACATTGTACAAATCATCAAGATTTCTCCACCCTGTTGAGATACCAAACTCGTAACCTAAGGTTCGATGATAATATGCATCGATCTCATCAAAGAAGTCCCTGAAATTAAACAATCCACGTATGGGATATAATTCTGCATTCTCAATTGTTTCCCTCAGTGCATCAGCACCTAAATACATGAGAACCTGTGAATAAATAATGAAGTACAAGGTTGGTACATCAATCATTGAGCAAATTACAGACAAACAACTTCTAATGGCTCTTCATGACAAGTTGGCTAGATAGTGCAGATAATGTGTATCTCTCTCTCTCTCTCTAGGCCTACGTTTGGATTGAGAAGAATGGATGGGATAAGTTAAATATTGATTTTGACATTGTCTTTGAGTTAGATCAGAAGAAGAGAAGAGAAGACAGACAAATAGTTAAAGAATAATCCATTTATTTGCTGAGCTTTATTCAGTATATTTTCTATACATATAGGCCACAGGAGAACAGAAGACTATGAAGAAATTCAAGGTTTCAACCACACTGATAGGGATTAGGGATCAAAACAGGGATGCTAAATTCCTGGCTAGATTTTCTCATACTTTGGACAATAGTTTTTGTCTCTTTGATTATCACCCATTTCCCAATCTTAGGAATGGAGGATAATGAAAGAGTCAAGGTTTTTTATCTTTTTGTTTATGTCTGACCTTCTGTACTTGTTAGCTGGTTTATATTGATATCCATTTTTATTCCAAAAAAAAAAAAAATTTCATTCTCAACTTTATTAGTATTAGATATTATTTTTAATTGAATAAGCAATAATTAGCTAATAGTTTACCCAAGGAAATAGGTATAAGGTCAGGGTTTCAATCCCTTAAGCAAAACTCACTCCGGTCTTGCATAGAAATCATCTTCTCGAAGGAATTGACAGTCCTTTTCATAAGTCATTTTACATAAAAAGATTGATCATTAATTGCTTTCTTCCAATTTTACCCTTTGGCAATTCTCTACGAGTAGAATAAAATGTTACATGAGGAACAAAATTTTCTTAAAAATGATGCACTTAATAAGGGTAAACTAGGAAATTTATTTCATTTTCAGACAGTATCAATAATTTTACTGCCCCTTCTTGATTCTGGTGAGATAGCAAGAAGTGATACACACATAGGACCAGGGGAGTAGATGATAACGGTGTATAGTTTTCAGTAAAATGACAAGTACATAGATTTCTAGTTATAACATAGTATTTATAGATGTTATAAACGAAACCATACTCTTGTCATGTTTGTATTAGAAAACTATACGGTTGCTATATTTTAATGGAAAAATCTAGCGAAGATACAAAAATATGATTCAAGTTTAATCTGAAAACATGAATTGAATGAAAATAAAGGAAAAATAAAAACAGAAACAATATAAAAGCAAACCAAAAGATATCCGACAAAAATATCATGTTATTCTCATGTGGCTAACATCCAAAATCTGACAGGATCTGAATATTCCTATCCTATTTATAAACTGCATCCAGCATATTTCATCAAAACCAAGAAAAACTTTAAACCTTATGAACTATCTAAAAATTCAACAGGTTTCTAATTCTACCCTTATAAAATATACACTTTTAAAATAAAATACTCCATCATTTAATAACCTTCCTAGTATTTAATAGGGACAAAAGGGTAAAGATGGACACAAAAATCATATAAGTAGCCTACTAATAAATATTCTCTCCCTGCCTTATACATAAGACCAAGGAGTATATATAAATCTATATATGCTTTTTTGTATTTCCAGCACAAGATTTGTCTGCAGCAAATTTGAAGAAATATCCATTTCATTATTCTTTCATTGATGAGTGCATGTGTTGAAGAGGGGGAGGGACCTACAGAATATGCTGATAATTACCTCATTTGCATCTTTGAAATGGACCAACCCCGATTTCTTTGGCCACTTGACCCGCCAGCATCTGCAAGCACAAAAGAAAATGGGAAGATTACTCTTCTCCCATATAAGGAAGAATCTTTTTGGGTAAAGGAAAAGTTATATTAGAAACTGAGAGGAGCAAAGTTGGAGGATAAGTCCATGCACATAGCACTAAAGAAAAGCCATGAGTAGATCAGCACCCCATTATAAATGTAAAGGCAAAGAAACTCCTTTGAAGATCCTGGAACTCCTCCCAACAAAATAAACCAAAAATAGTACTTCAAATTTCAAGAAAAATGGCATTAATACACAGAGCAGTAACAGTTATACATCAGATTCACTAATCCTATAGCAAAGTTCCTTAGGTCCAAAACAAATATCCTATTTATGTGAGAATAGTCAAACTTATATTTAATATATTAGAAAGATTTATTCCTTAAACATAGGAATATAATTAGATGGGATCATGGGAGTTAATATTTTATTCTTGATTTGATTTTATTTCCGTTATAGCTGTTATTTGTAAACTATATATGTACAATGCATCTATGAATAATACACACGTTTTCAAGAGATTCCAAACCACATGGCATCAAAGCCAATTCAATCAGTTGAGGTTTACAGAGTCACACAATAGTGGGTGCACTGATTCCACGAAGTTTGATTCTAGGCATTATCCTCTGGCACGACAGGCGTCGCACAACACGCCAGAACCCAGAGTCGCACAACGAGTCCAGAACCACACGTTGGTCAGCAGTCTTTCGCAAGCATCTGTGAAGAGTCTTCTCCTAGCATGACGTCCCCTAAGTCATGAGTCGCACAAGAACATATATTCATCGGCATTCTTCTCTAGTGTGGTCAACATCAGTTTTTCCCTCACACTGTGCATCTCTCTCTTCAGCTTCCATCAGCAGAATCGCATCACACCCAGGGTTAGACTCGTGCGTTGCACACCTTCCAACTATGGGTATTGGTTCTGGCACAGAAACTGACTCAAATATTAATCCATATGGTGGAACTTCCCAAGGGTTAAGTTCTACAGAAGGGACATCTACTCTTCTCATTTAAAAAAAAAAATCAATGGCTGCAACTATCGAGAATGGGCCCAGGCAATCAAACTTGATATCGATGGACGAGGCAAGTTGGGTTTAATCACTAGCCACTCTGAGGCTCCAGACGCATTAGACTCGAAGGCGATGGTGAAGTGTGACATTGATAATTCTATGGTAGCTTCATGGCTGATCAATGCTATGACACCACAGATTCGACGCTTCTTCATGTTTCTTCCAACAGCACAAGATATCTGGGAATCAATTAAGGAGTCATATTCAGATGGTGAAGATAGTGCTCATCTTTATGATTTGAAGACATGAAGTTGGCAGATGAAACAAGGCGAATGAGAGGTAACAGAATTTTGGTTGGACCTAGTTGCTATATGGTAAGAAATTGATCTCAACACAGAAGAGGAATGGTCCTATTCCAATGATGCAGTAAGGTACAAGCATCGTACTAAAGATAAGGGGGTTTTTTAGTTCTTGGCTGGCATTCATCACTCACTAGATGATGTTCGGAGTCACATATTGACTCGCTTCCCATTACCATCAACCCATGATGCTTTTGCCAAAGTTTGGCAAGAGGCTTCTCATCGTAAGGTGATGTTACCTACTCCTTCCTCTGTGCCTCCTTCCTCTAAAACTTCTGCTTTGGTAAGCAAGCATTCTAATCAGGGACAAAAAATGCAAAAGGCAAAATTGTGTGTGACCATTATAAGAAGACTGACCACTCAAAAGATAAGTGTTGGGATCTCCATGGGAAGCCCCCTAAATGGAAACCTCGTAAAGGTAAGTCTCGTGGTTACCAGGCTACATTTGAGTCTACACAAGACAAACCTACTTCTTTACCAATTGTTGATAAGGACCAATTAAATAAGCTCATGGAAATGCTTCAATCCTTACAATCCATCCAGTCATCCTCTCCATCACATAATGCTTCGGTGGCTAAGAAAGGTAATTCTCATTATGCGTTCAATGTTTGCTCCTCTAAGTCTAAATGGATTGTTGATTCTCAGGCCTCTGATAACATGACTGCGGATTCTACATTATTTACATCATATGTCCCATGTAGTGGACGTGAGAAAATTGATACGGCTAATGGCACCTCTTCTACTATAGCTGGAAAGGGCAATATTAATATCTCTAAATTTTTATAGTTGGATTTTGTCCTTCATGTTTCCTATCTTGCTAATTTGTCGTCTATAAGCAAGTTGACTAAACAGGCTCATTATAGTGCTTATTTTTTTTCCACTCATTGTATTTCCAAGATCTTTCATCAGGGAAGATGATTGGGAATGTTGAGGAGTGTGATGGACTCTACTACCTAGATGAGTCAACCATAAGTAATCTCTGATCTCATATCTCCAGCAACCTTACATCTACCTCTGAAAATGTTGATCTTTTGTTATGGCATAAAAGAATGGATCATCCCAATGTCCACTACTTGAGTCATTTGTTTCCTCATTTTTCATCTAATAAAAGTTCTAATTTTCATTATGATATTTGTGAGTTAGCCAAACATCATCGATCTTCATTTCTGCGCTCTGAATATAAGCTCTGTCAACCTTTTTCTATCGTTCATAGTGATGTGTGGAGTCCTTCTCATGTTCCTAATAGAATCCATGCCAAGTGGTTTGTCACCTTTATTGATGACCATACTCGTGTGTGCAGGGTATATCTAATAAAAGATAAGTCTGATGTGACATCTATTTTCATCAAATTCTTTACAATGATATTGAACCAATTTCACACATCTATTAAAATTCTCCAAACTAATAACGGCACTGAATATGTTAACAAGTCCTTGAATGATTTTCTTAAGTCTAGGGGAATCATTCACAAGACTTTCTGTGCTAACAGACCCTTAACAAAATGGGGTGGCTACACGGAAAAATAGACATTTACTTGAAGTTGCTCATTCCCTTTTGTTTACCACAAATTTGCCTAAATACTTCTGGGGGATGCCATTCTTACTGCCACTTACCTCATTAATCATATGCCTAGCAAAATATTGTCCTCTTCTACTCCACTTGAGTGTCTGCGCCAAACACACTCGCTTTCTCATCTTGAGACCAATCTTCCTTTAAAAGTTTTTGCGTGCTCTGCCTTTGTTCATCTCCATTCCTCCACCAAACTTGAGCCTCAAGTTATCAAATGTGTGTTCTTGGGTTACTCTTCCACCCAGAAAGGCTATAAATGCTTTGATCCTTCTTCCAAGCGATTTTTTGTTAGCCATGATGTCACTTTCTCTGAACATGAGTCCTTTTACCCGTCTCCTTCAATTTAGGGGGAGAGTTGGAGTGAATTTCAATTGACTCCTGACCGTAAGTATTCACCTATTGACTCTCTTAACCACCACACTCCTCTTGATCCTATACCTATACCTTTCATGCCTGAAGCAAAAGAAAATGCAGGTTCGGGGGGAGACAAGGATGCAGGTACTAAGGGGAAAGAGATCAAAGTTTACACACAGAAGATGAAACAGGATATAAAGGCTGTCATACCTAAGGCGGTACCAGAATTAGAACCGGTGGGAGATTCTAGGAAAGAAAGTCTACGAAAGGAAGGGGAGAGTATTGATGAAAATCTTGATACGGAGAAGACCTCAGAAGATGATCTGGAATTGCCAATTGCCCTCAGGAAGAAACCTCAATCTTGTACCCAACATCCCATTCAAAAATACTCATCATATGAAACCTTGCCTCCTAGTTACCGAGCATTTATTGCTAATATAGATGATGTTAGCATTCCTAATAACATCTACAAGGCCTTAAAAACAAGGGGATGGAGAGAGGCCGTCTTAGAAGAAATGAAAGCATTAGAAGAAAAAGGTGCTTGGGAGATTGTGCAGAAGTCGAGGAACAAGAAGCTAGTAAGTTGCAAATGGGTTTTTAGCCCAAAATACAAGGCTAATGGGAGCCTCGATAAGTTGAAGGCCTGATTGGTGGCTAGAGGGTTCACACAAACTTATGGTGTTGATTACCAAGAAACTTTTACACCAATGGCAAAATTGAATACTATTCAGGTACTGCTATCTATAGCAGCCAACCTTGAGTGGCCATTACACTAACTAGATATCAAAAATGCTTTTTTGAATGGAGAATTAAAAGAAGTTTATATGACTTTGCCACCTAGCTTCACTAAGGGAAGGGTTGACCAAGTATGCAAACTGAAGAAATCTTTATATGGTCTGAAGCAATCCCCATGAGCTTGGTTTGATAGATTCTCAAAGGTCTTAAAATTACAAGGCTACCAACAAGAACTATCGGATCATACCGTGTTTGTCAAAGTAGAAGGAGGTAAGAGGTGTATTCTCATTGTATATGTCGATGATATAATTGTTTCTGGTGATCATAGTGAAGAAATAACACGAGTGAAAGCTGCTCTAGGAAGAAAATTCAAGGTCAAGGACCTCGGACATTTGAAGTATTTCCTAGGCATGGAGGTTGCCAAATCAAAACAGGGTATTTATGTATCTCAAAAAAAGTATGTACTTGATCTCTTAAAGAGACAGGTATGGTAAGGTGTAAACCTGTTGAAACCCCTATTGTTGTTCTAAAAAGGAAGCAAAAATCTAAGAAGGAAGAGGGCAATTTTGAGGAAAAGGACAACACAACTGAGGAAGAGGAAGATAGGGAAAAAGAAAAGCTAGTTGACAGAGAAATATCAAAGGCTTGTTAGGAAGCTTATCTACCTCTCACACACAAGACCTTACATAGCATTTGCTGTGAATGTAGCTAGTCAGTATATGTCTAAAACAAAAGGAAAAACACATAGAAGCAACATATAGGATCCTAAGGTATATAAAGGGTACCCCTGGAAGAGGTTTGTTGTTCCAAAAGCATGGTCGAAGAATTATAGAAGTATACACAGATACAGAATGGGGTGGACATCACCCAAACAGAAGATCGACTTTGGGTTATTGCTCATTCGTATGGGGCAATCTTGTTACCTGGAAGAGTCAGAAGCAAAGAGTTGTCTCCAAAAGTAATGCTGGCTTTGAGTTAAGGACACTTGCTCAAGGCATAATGGAAGAACTTTGGTTGAAGAGGGTATTAGAGGAAATCCATGTCCAACTCGATCTTCCACTGAAACTGTATTGTGATAATAAGGCTACCATCAGCATGGCCTTGAATCCTATCCAACATGAGAAGCCTAAGCATGTGGAGATAAATAGACACTTCATCAAAGAGAAGGTGGAAGATGGAATCATATACCTAACCTTCCTACCAACAAATCTTCAAGCAGTAGACATGTTGACTAAAAGGTTACATAAACCCACTTTTGAAAGTTGCTAAAGCAAGTTGGACATAATTAGTATCTATGATCCAACTTGAGGGGGAGTGTGAGAATAGTCAAACTTATATTTAATATATTAGAAAAATTTATTCCTTAAACAACAACAACAACAACAACAACAACAAGCCTTTATCCCACTAGGTGGGGTCGGCTACATGGATTGCAAGACGCCATTGTGCTCTATCATTTATCAAGCTTTTAGAAATATTATTAATTAAGAGATCACGTTCAACAACTTCCAAGAGTGTTCTCTTAGGCCTTCCTCTACCTCTCTTAATCGGACTCAAAGTTATATGTTCCACTCTTCTCACTGGTGCCTCCCTTGGTCTTCTTTGTACATGCCCAAACCATCTCAACCGATTTTCTACCATTTTTTCCTCAATAGGTGCCACCCTCACTTTTTCACGTATGTGCTCATTTCGAATTTTATCTTTACGTGTATGTCCGCACATCCATCGTAACATTCTCATCTCTGCTACTCCAACTTTATGCTCTTGCTGTCCCGTTAGAGCCCAGCATTCACTACTATATAACATTGCTGGTCTGATAGCAGTACGATAAAACTTTCCTTTAAGTTTATTAGGCACCTTACGATCGCAAATAACTCCTTTAGCTTTTCTCCAATTAAACCACCCAGCTTGAATTCTATGTGAAATATCTCCACTGATTTCGCCATCATTTTGAATAATGGCTCCCAAATATCTAAACTTTTCCACTTGAGGTATAATTTGATCTCCCAATTTCACTTCCAAATTATTTTCGAATAGTCCTTTACCAAATTTACAATATAAATATTCCGTCTTACTTCTACTCAGACGAAAACCTTTCGACTCCAATGTCCTCCTCCATAACTCAAGTTTGCAATTAACCTCTTCTCTTGTCTCTGCTATAAGAACTATATCATCCGCGAAGAGCATACATTTCGGGATTTCCTCTTGAATATGTTCCGTCAAAACATTTAAAATCAAGTTGAACAAATAAGGACTCAGAGATGATCCCTGATGTAGTCCAATCTTTATAGGAAAATCCTTTGTTTGACCACTAGGCGTTCTTATACTAGTTTTTACCCCCTCATACATATCTTGTATGGCTTTAATATAAGCAATCCGTACTCCCTTTTTTTCCAACGCTTTCCAAAGCACTTCTCTTGGTATACGGTCATAAGCTTTTTCCAAATCAATAAAAACCATGTGTAGATCTTTATCTTTACAACGATACTTTTCCATTAATCCCCTTAGTAGATAAATTGCCTCTGTAGTTGATCTACCTGGCATAAAACCAAATTGATTCTCAGAAATACTTGTCTCCAATCTCAACCTGTGCTCAATTACTTTCTCCCACAATTTCATTGTGTGGCTCATGAGTTTAATCCCTCTATAGTTAGTACAATTCTGAATATCTCCTTTATTTTTATAAATAGGAATTAATGTACTTCTCCTCCACTCATCAGGCATTTTCTTGGACCGTAAAATCACATTAAATAACTTAGTTAACCATCTCACCCCTTCTTCACCTAAACATTTCCACGCTTCGATAGATATACAATCAGGTCCGTTAGCTCTACCATTTGCCATTTTCTTAAGAGCTTCCTTTACCTCCTTATCACGTATTTTTCGATAGAATGACAAATTTTGTTCTCCTTCACCAGTTACTAAATCCTCCAAGTTACTAGATGAATCCTCTCCATCATTGAAAAGTTTAGAAAAATAAGTCTCCCATCTATTTTTAATTTCATCATCTGTAACTAAAATTCTTCCCTCTTCATCCTTAATACACCTTACCTGTTCTAGATCTCTTGATTTTCTTTCCCTACTCTTGGCAATCTTATAAATATTTTGCTCTCCTTCCTTCGTCTCAAGGTTCTTATAAAATTCTTCAAAAGCTTTGGAACGAGCTTCACCCACAGCTCTCTTAGTTTCCTTCTTAGCCATACGGTACCTCTCCCAATTTTTCTCATTGTTACACAAATGTATGGCTTTAAAACAGTTCTTCTTATACTTGATTTTGTCCTGTACACTATTATTCCACCACCAAGACTCCTTATCTCTCGGACCAGAACCTTTCGATTCTCCCAAAACTACTTTTGCAACCTCCCGTATTTTTTTAGCCATATCCTCCCATATGATGTTAGCACTTCCCTGAGAATCCCAAATTCCTTTATCCAAAAGATTTCGCCTGAAAATATCTTGCTTCTCACCTTTTAATTGCCACCACCTAATCTTTGGTGTTACTACTTGTCGACGTTTTTGGATTTTACTCATAATACACACATCAAGGACTAGGACCCTATGTTGTGTCGTTACAGCATCTCCAGGGATCACCTTACAATTTTTACAAAGTTTTCTATCTGTGTTCCTAACCAAAAGAAAATCAATCTGCGACCTTGAGGCTCCACTTTTGTAAGTGATGAGATGCTCATCTCTCTTCTTGAAACAAGTGTTGGCAATCTTAAAATCATATGCCAATGAGAAATCAAGAAGAGTTTGCCCTTCATTGTTTGCTCTCCAAAACCAAAACCACCATGCACCCTCGCATACTGACCAGCTTCCCTCCCGACATGCCCATTAAAGTCTCCTCCAATAAAAATCTTTTCACTCTGTGGTATGTGTCGAATCAACCCCTCCAGATCCTCCCAAAATAATTCCTTAAGACTGGCTTCTGTCCCGACTTGCGGCGCATAAGCGCTAACAATATTAACAGTCTCACGTCCAATTATCATTTTTAAAGAAATAATTCTGTCTCCAATTCTGCTAACTTCTACAACGTTCTTCTTCCACTCCTTATCTGTAATGATGCCTACTCCATTGCGTGCACTTACTTTTCCTGTATACCAAAGTTTGAAACCTTGAATATCCTTAGCTCTTCTCCACGCCATTTTGTTTCTTGCAAGCAAAGGATATTGATTTTCCTTTGAATCATAACCCCTACAACCTCTACAGATTTACAATTTAATGTCCCAACATTCCAAGTACCAAATCTAATTTTGCTCTTATGGACTAACTTCTTTAGCCGCGTGCGTCCAGAATGACGCGGTAGCCCTTGCTCATTTAACACTACATCCGGGCGCCGATGCAGCGGCTCTAACTCACTTATCACTGTACTCGAGCCATGCAGCGCGTTACTTACGGGCAACGACCTAGCATTAACATTATAACATTAGCATTAAAAATTTATTCCTTAAACATAGGGACATAATTAGATGGGATCATGGGAGTTATTATTTTATTCTTGATTTTATTTTATTTCCTTTATAGCTGTTATTTGTAAACTATATATGTACAGTGCATCTGTGAATAATACACACGTTTTTTGAGAGATTCCAAACCACAATTTAACTCGATGATCACTCACAGCATCTCTACTACAACAGCCAAAGAAACTTTCCGTAATTATCCTAGTTCAATCTGCAACCTCTAGAGATCTCCCATATAAAGCCAAAATGACAGATAGCAATACAAGACAAAAGTCCCAAAATTGCTGCAAAACCTCCAAAACAAATAAGTCACACAAGCAGCAAAAAGGAGTTATCTGTTCAAGGGTTAAAGATAAAGTGGCAACCAAAAAATATGATAACAGTAAAACTTCAACCCAGAAACATGCAAAAAAACTGCATAATAAAAATGCCAAAAAAAAAAAGTTATCATAATGCTTAAATGAAAACAAAATGTTAAGGTCCACAAATAGGAAGTGTAACAGCTTGGAATGCACTTATGGATCAATAAAATTGATATATGCAGAAAATTCAGGACACTGGATTGAACCTTTCTTTCCCAATGCGACGAGCAAGTTCCTCAGCTAAGGCTTGACCAGGTAGATCTCCATCAGTTGCAAGTATAATGCGCGATGCCTGTCAATATGAAGATTTAAAAACAAACTGAGGAAACCCTTAATTCCTGCACATCCATAATTAAAAGACAATGACTGATATTTACATACCCCCTTAATATAATCTTTGCAGTTCCACAGATACTGATACTTAATGTCCTAGCCTCACAGAAAAGACAAGCATGAAATTATAATAAGGAAAACACAGGACCACATAATTAAAGATTGGCAATAGATAAGTGAGTGAATATTAATCATGCTCAATCTCCTTTAGATCTACAACTATATCGCAATCAAACAAGGGAAAGCAAAAAAGTGTAACTTGATATGAATGACAATTGTACTTTTTAGAGATGATAAAATCAATCATAACGTTATAAGCCTTAATAGTTTTAAGTTTTCGGCTGAAGTAGTCCTTGAATATGAAAACTAAAAACTTGACTCACTAAGTAGGTAGCAGTTCAATCCTTCATCTTACAGCATTTTTGGGGGGAAGGTCCTTCATATGGGCATAATTTTAATAGCAACCCACAGTGCCTTAGGCAATGGCACAGTAGTGGTCAAGGTTCTCAAGCTCATGAGTTTGACTCCATGTAAATTCACATAAGGTCAAGTTGACTCCATGTTTACATGCTTCAATAAACAAACAAATTTACATTGTTGTGTCATGTTTGCTTTACCATGGATTCTATAACTGTATTTTAGGTATATGTTTACATAGTTTGCATTTTATTTTTTAATTTTGACATTTTTGAAACTGAAGGATTTAGAGAAGAGTTAACACAAAAGAAAACAATTTACACTTTCTCGTTTGGGGACTTAATCCTATCTTGAAGAAGTTAAGGGGAGAACCATGTCTACTTGATCCTTACCTTCACATCAAGAAGTGTTCTATGACGGGGGGGAGGAAAGCAGGAAAAGCTGAGTTGGTGGACAAAAAATTCAACATATGATTGAATCTTCTGCTATGGCTGCAAGAAATAATACTGCTCCCTACCCAAAATAGTAGAAGGTGGAAAACCATGTTGAGATTGTTTTAATAAGATCAGTCACCTAATGCACACATTGAAACTGATTCATGAGAAGCCATGTAATTGTAAGCCACATGAACAAAAGGAGACTTTTGGACTTATGGTAGCTGGTAAGGAGCAAACTCAAGGTCAAAAAGAGCTCATTTCATTCACTGAGGAGATGATAGAACATTTAGAAAGAGAACTCTTGCAAAAGATACCGCATAAACAAGGCCAAACTTCGGAAAAATTCATTGGCATGGAGTTATGGCCCTTACATGTAAACCCTCCGTGACTCCACTTAAAAAATCCAGTACTTGGATATTTGACTCCCTTTCCACATACCATGTGGTAGTTGATATTCTATTCTCGATACATTTGTTCAATGTCCTGATTACTTTTGAAACAATAAGCAAAGCGAGTGGCCAAGGAATTGCAGTAAGTTTGAATAACATGATTTCAAAGCATATGCTTATTGGATCTAAATTACACAGCAACCTAATGTTTGTCCAAAAACTTGCAAAAGATTTCTAACGCCAGCTTAAATCTTATACTCATGGGTATTTCTAGGGAGCTTGGGAAGACTAACAATGCTAGGAAAAAAGGACTGTGCTAGGCTTTGTTATTGAAATTTACTGTGAATCAACGTCTCAGTTTCTGGTTTTTCATTCATAAAGGTTGTACATATAAAGGAGCCTAGGGTTACAGCAATAAATCTCATAAATCAGAATCTAATTGAGCCTAGGGTTACAGCAATAAATCTCATAATCAGAATCTAATTACTAGAATCTTTGACTATTCTAGTATTATTTTCTAATATAGAAACTAGTAAATATAATAACAGCAGGATCTGAACTATTAACCTAATAACAACATAGGCTAATAAGCCTTTGGGCAAAGGCCATCGGCATTCACCAATACTCTCTCTCTAGCTAGTGAATAGATGCTTATAATTCCCAGCTTGCTTGCTAGATTCTCAAACTTGGGCTTAGCTAAGGATTTGTGAGCATATCAGCAATCTGCAATCTTGTTGGAATATATCTAATCTCTATCCTCTTCTCTTCCATTTTTTTTCTTTGATAAAGTGGTGATCAATCTCTACATATTTGGTCCTATCATGATGAATAGGGTTCTTCACAATCCATATAGCTTCTAGATTGCCACAAAATAATTGCATCAACCCCTCATACTCAATTTTAGCTCTTTGAACAATCATTCAATCCACTGACCTTCACAGATGATGTGCTAGTGCTTTGAGCTCTACTTCAGCACTACTTGAAAACTACAAATTGTTTTTGACTTCTCCATGTTACCAAATTATACCATGAACTCCGCCTATGTTTATAGCCGGTCCCAAACCCAGGTTAAAGGAGGAGGGTTGTGTTAGGCCATCAACAGAGGAGGAGGGTTGTGTTAGGCCATCAACAGCCAACGTAAAAACTTTGTTGAATCTATCATGAACATGGATAATAGACGTTATAATGTTAATGCTAGGTCATTGCCCGTAAGTAACCCGCTACTTGGCTCGAGTACAGTGATAAGTGAGTTAAAGCTGCTGCATCAACCCCCGGATGTAGCGTTAAATGAGCAAAGGCTACCACGTCATTCTGGACGTGTGAGGCTAAAGAGGTTAGTTCATGAGAGCAAGATTAGATTTAGTACTTGGAATGTTGGAACATTGAATTGTAAATCTGTAGAGATTGCAAGGGTTATGATTCAAAGAAAAATCAATATCCTATGCTTGCAAGAAACGAAATGGCACGGAGAAGAAGCTAAGGATATTTATGGCTTCCAACTTTGGTATACAGGAAAAGTAAGTGCATATAATGGAGCAGGCATCATTATTGATAATGAGTGAAAGAAAAACGTTGTAGAAGTTAGCAGAATTGGAGACAAAATTATTTTCTTAAAAATGATAGTTGGACGTGAGACTGTTAATATTATTAATACTTATGTGCCTCAAGTTGGGACAGAAGCCCATCTTAAGGAATTATTTTGGAAGGATCTAGAGGGGTTGATTCAACACATACCACAGAAAGAAAAGATTTTTATTAAAGGAGACTTTAATGGGCATGTCAGGAGGGAGGCTAATCAGTATGCGAGGGTGCATGGTGGTTTTGGTTTTGGAAAGCTAAATAATGAAGGGCAAACTCTTCTTAATTTCTCACTAGCATATGATTTTAAAATTGCCAACACTTGCTTCAAGAAGAGAGATGAGCATCTAATCACTACAAAAGTAGAGCCTCAAGATCACAAATTGATTTTCTTTTGGTTAGGAACACAGATAGAAGACTCTGCAAAAATTGCAAAGTGATTCCCAGGAATGCTGTAATGATACAACATAAAGTCCTTGTCCTTGATATGTGTATTATGAATAAAATTCAAAACGTTAACAAGTAGTAACACCAAGGATTAGGTGGTGACAATTAAAAGGTGAGAGGCAAGATATTTTCAAGCGGAATCTCTTGGACAAAGGAATTGAAAATTTAAGGAAGTGCTAACATCATGTAGGAGGATATGACTTGGAATTTAAGGAAGTGCTAACATCATGTAGGAGGATATGGCTAAAAAGATAAGGGAGATTGCAAAAGTAATTTTGGGAGAATCAAAAGGTTCTGGTCCGAGAGATAAGGAGTCTCGGTGGCGGAATAATAGTGTACACATAAGAAGAACTGTTTTAAAGCCATACATTTGTATAACAATGAGGACAATTGGGAGAGGTACCGTATGGCTAAGAAGGAATTAAGAGAGCTGTGAGTGAAGCTCGTTCTAAAGTTTCTGAAGAATTTTATAAGAGTCTTGAGACGAAGGAAAGAAAACAAAATATTTATAAAATTGCTAAGAGTAGGGAAAGAAAATTAAAAGATCTAGAATAGATAAACTGTATAAAAGATGAAAAGGGAAGAATTTTAGTTACAGATAATGAAATTAAAAATAGATGGGAGACTTATTTTTTCAAACTTTTCAATGATGGAGAGGGTTTATCTAGTAACTTGAAGGATTTAATAACCCGTGAAAGAGAACAAAATTTGTCATTCTATCAAATAATACGTGATAAGGAGGTAAAAAAAGCTATTAAGAAAATGGCAAATGATAGAGCCAACGAACCTGATTGTATATCTATTGAAGTGTGGAAATGTTTAGGTGAAGAAAGGGTGAGATGGTTTGCTAAATTATTTAATGTGATTTTACGATCCAAGAAAATACCTAACGAGTAGATGAGAAGTACATTAATTCCTATTTATAAAAATAAAGGGAATATCTAGAATTGTACTAACTATAGAGGGATTAAACTCATAAGCCATATGATGAAATTGTGGGAGAAAGTAATTGAGCACAGGTTAAGATTGGAGACAAGTATTTCTAAGAATCAATTTGGTTTTATGCCAGGTAGATCGACGACAAAGGCGATTTATCTACTAAGGGGATTAAAGAAAACGTATCATTGTAAAGATAAAGATTTACACATGATTTTTATTGATTTGAAAAAAGCTTATGACAGTATAACAAGAGAAGTGCTTTAGAAAGCTTTGGAAGAGAAGGAGTACAGATCGCTTATATTAAAGTCATACAAGATATGTATGAGGGGGTAAAAACTAGTATAAGAACATTTAGTGGTCAAACAAAGAACTTTCCTATAAAGATTGGATTACATTAGGGATCATCTTTGGGTCCTTATCTATTTAACTTGATCCTAAATGTTTTGACGGAACATATTCAAGGGGAAATTCCAAAATGTATGCTCTTCACGAATAATATAGTTCTTATAGCAAAACAAGAGAAGAGGTTAATTGTAAACTTGAGTTATGAAGGAGGACATTAAAGTCGAAAGATTTTCGTCTGAGTAGGAGTAAGACAGAATATTTATATTATAAATTTGTTAGAAACTAATCGACAGTAATTTGAAAGTAAAATTGAAAGATCAAATTATATCTCAAGTGAAAAAGTTTAGATATTTGAGAGTCGTTATTCAAAATGATGGCGAAATTAATGGAAACATTTCACATAGGATTCAAGCTAGGTGGTTTAATTGAAAAAAAGCTAAAGGAGTTATTTGCGATTGTAAGGTACCTAATAAACTTAAAGGAAAGTTTTATCATACTGCTATCAAACAGGCTATGTTATATAGTAATGAATACTAGGCTCTAA